GATAGATAGATGGCATGACAAAGACGGAGAGAATGACTCATCCTTCTTCTTTCTCCTTTCATCTCTCCTCCCTCCCTCCCTCCTGTCATCCCAGTGGCACTTCACGCCCTGATGCTCAGTGACATCTGGCCTTCATTCAAATCAACATCCCTTCATTCATCCTCTCACATTAACCAATAGGAAAGCTCGATCTTAGCAGAGACCGCCCTCTTGTCTTTTGCCAGAACCAATGCACACACTCCCTGTACTTCTACTTTCTAATTCATTCTGCCTTTCATTCTTGTGTACAGGCCTTCGACCACAATGAATGAAGTCAGTGCAGCACAGCAAATTCAGAGTTAGAGGCAGCATAGACAGATAGATAGATAGATCACAAAAAGAAGCACGTTCAGTGGATAATTTTCCTGCTGCAGGTCAGAAGAACAATTACACAATTAAACATCTGCATTTGAACATTCAGAACAGGATGTTCATCGAGGACAAAACACTTGTTCACACATATACACACAGCAAGAACTAGACAATCATTCAGTGAATACTTGTCAAAGGCATCTTGAAGATGAAGAGGAGAGGCTTTACATGTGGGATGTACCAGTGCTTTTCTCTGATGGAGGACATTGTTTTGTTTGTCGGTCTCCCCCTGCATGCTAACAAAAGAGAGGGCATTAGCATAGTATTTTTCCTTTGTCACTTTAACAAAGCAAGAAGACAGTCATCATATGTGTAGCATCTGGAGAGGGAAGACTGATTTACACAAACACACATCACATCTGCTGCAACTTCCTGCTACTGAGCAGCTTCATCAGAACTACTGGCGATTCATCGTGTTGCTCAAGAATACCACTGCAGAAGGAGAAGGGGAAGGACAGGGCGTATTGCTATCACTTCTGCTATGTTAGAGGGGGTTTGCAGTTTACTTACATCTACTGCATTCCTCTGCTTACTTACACTTTAATGTTTCGGCAGGGCTAATGTACGGAAGAGTATTAGGGCCACTGCATAAATTTTTTTCAAAATTCTGACTTTATTCTCAGAATTCTGAGATTAAAGTCAGAATTCTGAGATTAAAGTCAGAATTCTGAGATTAAAGTCAGAATTCTGAGATTAAAGTCAGAATTCTGAGATTAAAGTCAGAATTCTGAGAATAAAGTCAGAATTCTGATCCTGAAACATCCTTCCGATGTTTCTCAAACATCTGATTTGCAGTGATAGTGGCATTACTCATTCGGCAGAACTTGTAGTACACTTGTTTGCACTTTATTTTAAAATTCTCAGAATTCTGAGTTTAAAGTCAGAATTCTGAGAATAAAGTCAGAATTCTGAGAATAAAGTCAGAATTTTAAAAAAAAATTTATGCAGTGGCCCTAATACTCTTCCGTACTAATGTTATGAGAAATCTGTCACATGCAAATCATGTTATACATTGGACAATGAGTTGATTATATTACTCATTAACAATTGAAGTAGATTAGCTACCTAAATAAATGTATATACTATATAGCATGGAATTGCAATGTATATTATCATCTTTAAAACACCCTAAACCTCCATTAACCAATATTTGTATGCTAACATTCACACAGCAAACCACAGTATGCTACCTGCCAAGCTCCAAACAACAGACAGTAAGGTGCAGTAAAGAAGGCCATCAGTTTTTGGGCTTGTAAAATACTACATCAACCACAAATTCAATGCTGAAGACAGAACACATGACAGATTCCTAACCAGTGCCACAAGTTGTCAATACCCTGCTGTGTTTTTGTTTTCTGCTTGTTATATTCATTTGCTCTTATGCATGTGACATTCCGTGCGTCTTTCACTCAGCTTGGATGTGTCTGCTTACAACGCCTCCAAACTCCACAGACAAGCGGACTTTGCCATGTGTCAAGGTGAAGGGAGTCCATGAGCGACTGATTCTTTGCTGCACAAGGACGAGAAGCAGATGAAACCAGGAAAGAAATTCCACAAGAGAAAAGAGGAAAAGACAGAGGAGACAAAGAAAAACACTAGGAGGGAGAGGATGGGCCGTGAATGATGGAGACAGAGAGGAAAGGGGGATTAAGTGAAAATGAAGGCATGTAAAGTTGAATGGAGGAGAGAGAGAAGCTGAATTAGTGAGAGTGATAACAATGAAATCCAGTATTCAGCTGTGTAAAATCCCCAGAGAATAAATACAATGAAAATATTTGTTGTGATTTGTTCATTTTGCAGTATAAACTCATTCTCACACCACTGAAACCGCCAGATCAAGGGGAACTATGAAAGAACACATGTACCCAAGTCTTTAATTGACTGAGCAGAGCTAAGCACTGGAGAGTGGAGCGGAGCGGGCTTGTATGATCTAAATATAGGATGCTGCCGCGTGATTTCTTCTGCTTGAGCATGGATTCACTCGCCCTCAACCGAGAATGAGGGGAAAGGAAAGAATGGAGGGAAGAGACAAGAGGTTACGGGCATATTTAGAAAAAAAAATCCCCTGATTCTGTCAGTGTATGATCAAGTGTGTGTTGGTATTTGTGTGAGAGAGATGCAAGCTCAGTCACATGGCTCTGCATCTTCTCTATCCCATCACAACGTAGGGGAGGGGCAGTAGTACTGTGATCTCTGTGGAGCGGTCTATTCATGCTGGTTGCTTCACAATCTGTCCATCACCTAACCAGGCTGGTCGTAGTGTCGTGGTGCCGTGGCTGAACTTGAATAACACAAACCATCCATCCTCATCCTTTTGATTCAAAAAGAAAATCTTCACAAATCACCCCATGCATTCTAATCCACATGTTTTAAAAAGGTATTGTAGGAGTAATTTATGAAATAGAATGGCATAAACGCCTGTAAGCCTTATTGTATTAATAATTACAAACTTTATTCAGAAGGCAATAATTAGAATAGGCTGCTGATAATAACCTGGTCACATGGATCATGCTGTGGTCACTGTATGAATGAAAGAAAGAGAAAAGGGATTTTATAAAGCCAACTTTCCTATAGGGCCTCACATGTTTTCTCAACAAGAAAAATTGAAATGAAAACAGACAAATATGACCATATATGATAAAACCTTTAAAAATTGGTTATCATGTACAGATGATGGTAGTCTGTCAGACTACCATCTTTATTTCTATTTGGAAATAAAGCTGCAGCTTGGGAAATGCACTCATTTTTTTATATATATAATTGTGCTGCAGATAGAATATGATATTATTTTCAAAGATGAATGTAAAATGCAAAAGTACCCACAAAACAATGTGAAAACAAATATAAGGCCCTGCATTCAAGTCAAGTCAAATTTTATTTATATATCCCAGTATCACAACTCAAGGGGTCTGACCATCTCTACACCAAACAACACCCTCTGTTCTTATAGAGCCTCAACTGAATATGAAAAACTCCTCCCAACAAACCTTTAGCAAGGTGGATTTCCAGATAATTCTACTAAGAATAGTGCAAGAGTATTATCAGCAAAATCCATGTTATGTTTTAAAAGTTAAAGTATTTGATTTGCCTTAAAATGGCCCAGATTATGTATTACTATACAATTGTACTGCATTATGACAGATGCATCGGTGCTTAAACAGTATTTTACTGCAAGGTGGAGTTAGTTTTAACTTTCTTATACAGTAGGTTAGTCCATGCATCAGAGCTGGAAAGTAACTAAGTACATTTTCCCAAGTACTGTACTTAAGTACAATTTTGAGGTACTTGATCTTTACTTGTGTATTTTCATTTTCTCTTACTTCAAACTTCAACTTCACTACATTTTACTGAAAAATATTGTACTTTGTATTCACTACATTTATTTGATAACTTTAGTTACTAGTTACTTTTCAGACTGATTATTTAAAAAAAATACAGTATAGTAGAATCATTAGACTTTATTCATCCCTGGTGGGAAAATCTCAAGCTACCCATGAATGTGAACTGTGCCTGCATAATGAGTGCTTTTACTTTGGCTAAGTATATTTTATACCAATATTTTGGCACTTTTTACTTAAGTAACAATTTTAATGCAGGACTGTTTCTTGTAACAGACTGTTTTTACACTGTGGTATTGCTACTTTCATTTAAGTAAACAATCTGAGTACTTCTTCTGCCACTGCCGTATATTAGTTTGCTATACAAATTTGTGTTCTTTATGGACTTATTTCTGAAACTTTTCATCTGTTTGGGGCTTAAATTAAACCATCTGAGAGGTTCAGAGTTTAAATGTGTCTGGTGGAACTGTTAACAACTCATAGACATCTGAGACATGACAAGGGACACCGATTAGATCCTGCTTTTTTGTTAGTGGTAACAAGTCAAAAGGTTAGGAACTTTAATGTGGGGGCAGCACGGTGGTACAGTGGGTAGCACAGCTGCCTCACAGCCAAAGGAATCTGGGTTCTGCAATATGTTGAACCTGTCGAACAACTGGGGCCTTTCTGAGTTGAATTAACATGCTGTCATCACACCTGGATTTCTTTGAGTACTCTGGTTTGTTCCTACAGTCCAAATGCAGGTTTGGTTAACTGTAGTAAGAAAGAAAGAAAGAAACTGTAGTCATGAAACTAAATGATTAAATCAGTAATCAGAAAAGTAGCAATTTTGTTGATTCATCAATAAAAAACTAAACTGTCCTACTGCAGTCCTAATATAAAGTAGCAGAAGCTGAAAATATGAGAGAGAGAGAGAGAGAGAGAGAAAATTTTAAATTTGGGGAACAACACAAAGAAAGACCAACATGAATGCACTCACAGGAAGCCATGTCATTACCACGCTTTCATTGTAATGAGGACACCATGAAAAAAAGCATGTTTTCACTTGTGTTCCTGATCATATGACTTAGTCACATACAGTATTTCACTTTTATAGCTGTTATCATTTCATAGTTGTCATACGAACTGAGGGTGACATCCTGTGGCCAGATGTGAAGTCTCACCTGTCATTTTAAAAATCGCCAGCAGGCGGCAGTGTCACTAAACAGATCAGATCTTTTCACGTTGACCCTCTCTCTTGACTCGAGACTTATTTTCCCTGACGGTTTGATTTTCTTTCTCTTCCGGTTGTCGTCTGTTCGTGTGGCAGGTATATATTTCCCCTATTTTACCTGCCTTTAAAATCTTAATCAATCTTCGTTTATTTTAGATACTCACACAGAAGGGCCCACAGATTTTGATAAAGCACTTTATCAGCTGTGTGTCCATTGCATTATGTTTGAGATGTGGTCATTATTAAAAGTAAAAATGGCACTAGAAAAGTGCTAACACTTCGTTTAGTCAAGCAGAAGCTTTACAGCAACTAGGGACCAAGCAATAGTTATAAATGCAGCTAAAATGTCAGTTTTTTCTGATATGTACCTTTACATCGTCACTTGACTGCAGCATTTAAATTTAGATTTTTTTCTCCCCATTAAACGCACCTTTGTTTACATGGTAGAACGTTTCTTTACCTACCCATAGCAGCTCAAGCATAGCTAATATTAGCTAACATGCAAGTGAATACGAACAGTTCTGCGAAATGCACATTAACGTGAAATGCTGTTCCACTTTTCTGTCCTCAGATTAAACAGCGTCGAAATGGCCAAGTCCAAGAACCACACAACCCACAACCAGTGTAAGTGTGACTGCAGTGACAAGTTGCGTTTGAAGTGTAACTCCTCGTTGACCTAATGCTAACTTCACTTGTACGACTAAAGAATCAGACTTTATCAAACGCACGGTTTAAATTCTTATTTTGCAGTCTCTCTGCATTGCCGTTATGTGAAAAGGACACTAAAAATAAACAATATTAGGCATATGAGATCAGATCATTGTTAAGGCACAGGTTAATATTTAATAATTATCGTGATATACGGATAAAATAAGTTATGTGCAGACATGACATGGTAAACATATTAAGTTCATAGCTGTACTAATAGTGGTTCAAAAGTATTGCTATGTGCAGTACCATATACTCCAGGTATTGGATTACAGGATAGTGCAACGTGTAATGAATTGTGCTATTTCAAGTAGAAAAGGTAAAGTGGCTGGGCAGGTGATTCACAGGATTGACTTAAGATCGTAAGCAATTACACCAATGTATGATAGTTTTAATCCAGTTGTTTGTTTGTCATTCATCTAAAATCTGTTTGTCCTTTTTGCATTGGTGACCCTCACTAGTAAAGGAAAGGATGGTGTGTTCTAAGTATTTTCTTTTCATGTGTGCACAGCTCGTAAAGCCCACAGAAATGGCATCAAGAAGCCCAGATCTCAGCGCTATGAGTCACTGAAGGGGGTATGTATTGTTACACATCTGTGTTGACAGTTGCCATTTCCATACACCAAAAACGTTACTTAAGGAAATTATGTGTTTACATGCAGCAAGTCAATGGAATAGATGGTAGACATGGAAATACTGAAGCACTGTAATTATACACACCGTAATTTCCGGATTATAAACTGCTACTTTTTTCACTTCATGCACACACCCTCATCATGGAAAACACACAACGAAATGCATATGATGCAGCTTTCAAGTTAAAGGCGATCGATCTCTCATGTTACAACGTGGACACTTGCGGCTATGTACAAAGTGTTTTTTCGTTTTCGTTTTATATTTAGTGGCTTATATTCAGGTGCACTCAATAGTCTGGAAATTACGGTACATCATATAAAGGTGAAAACAACATTACAAGTGGTAATGGGGTTGTCTTGATATGTTGATTTGACAGATGGTTCATGCTTTTTCTTAAAAACATTTTTAGTACTCAATAATTTTTACAGATCCCCCCCCCAATACACCTTACTTAAAAAGTGAATTGTACTTTGTTCACTTCCCTGTCCATCAGTTCATGAGTCTCATATTTTACCTGTAATACCCATATTTTAATGTCTTTGATCATTCTTTGAGATGTGAAACCATCAAATTTACACACAGTGGTAGAAAGTAAAAGTATGTATCGAGCTCATAGCTCAGGTATACAGTCCTATCTCATTATGGAACATCTATCCTGATGGGCTGCTTAAGGCCCATCGCCTGTCGGTCTCAAACCTGGATTAGCCCACCAAAAACACATCAGTGAAATGCTGCTGCACTGGGTGACAACTTTTCTTCATTACAAAGCAGAAGACCCCAGGTCTGAAGCTGGGACTTGTAATAATGCAAACTCCAGCATGACTGGTGAATGTGGAGCCAGACCTCTCCTGTTCTCAAGCTTATTTTATATTGGTGTGTTAGTGATGCATGGTGCTGCATGCTGGACCCTTGTTGAAGCATTTGAACTGATGTGCACTTTGTTTTGTTACCACCAGACACCAGTCAGAACCCCAGATTTTTAGCAACTCTATTGTAGTCTTTATTGTTTGCTTTATTTTTGTTTACTGTCTAAGTTCATATCTTTATTTTGCTCTGAAAAACGGATACCTTGGAAATTATGCCCCACTTTAAAAGTTGCAATCTTCCTTCTCACTTGTCCCCTCACTCAGTTCCTTTTCTTTGTATGTTCCAGGTTGACCCAAAGTTCCTGAGGAACATGCGCTTTGCTAAGAAGCACAACAAGAAGGGCATGAAGGCAGCACAGAAGGCAGCTCAGGCAAAATAAGCTGCTGTTAATCTGTCACTGTTCAGATTGTTTCCACCATCACAATAAAGCTATGCTTTAAAACACCAATGTCAGATTGTACTTTTGTTTTGTTGAAACTGCTCCTGCCTTGTCTCCTCGTGTGGAATGTCATTTTATTACGTGTGATTATTTTATGACAGTGTTGAGGTCTTTAAGCCATGTAAAAGTAAATAATTGTTAAAATATGGGGATGCTTGTCTGTTTAGGGACTAAAGAAGGTGAACACAGCAAATATTGCAGAATTAAGACAGTACACTAAGAAAAACTAATCAAAAAGCAGACATACAGCATTAGGAGCTTGCGTTCATTTCTTTGTCTTACATTATGTTCGCTGTTTTGTAGTTGCTGTCTGATGGAATGAAAAATGAAATTAAAAAGTGCATGACTCAAAATAAAAATACACCAAAATAAGGGTGCTATACTCTTTCTGGTGAAATTTGTGTCTACAGAATAAGTGTAAATGATAAAATGTAAAATCATGGGAAAGGAAGTAACTAAAATCAGAAATTGCCATTGACAAAAAGATGTGGTTTAGTTTGTCTTCTACAAAAATTACACCACATCAGCAAAACACCAAACAGACAGTGGGGGTCAAAGAAAAAGTGAGTTTTGGACAAACTAAATCATTCTGATTTTAATTTTATAAGGACTAAGGTTGTGCACAGAACAGAGTTTGCTGGTGATACAGTATGTAGACAGAAGTGGGAAGTAAATTTACCTAAGTACAATTGTGAGGTATCTGTACTTGAGTATTTCCATTTTCTGTACTTCACTACATTACAAACACAAAATATTGTACTTTGTACTTACTACATTTATTTGATAATTGGTTAACTTTCAGAAAGATGTTAATAAAACGAAATACAGTATAATCACAAGATTTACCACTGTATGTAGAACATTGCACATGTAATAAGTCACAAGATAACAGAAAATGAGCATTTTATTTTGATGCGGCCTAAACGTCACTTCCGGCCAAACACTCCAACTTGCATCATTTCCCATCTCGATTGTAGCTGGGGGAGTAGACAACGTGTGAGTATCTCCATTCATAATGAATTATAACAATATGAAGGTTTGACTACAGTTACAATTTAGTGCACATGTGTTAGTATATGTGAGCGTTCAAACACTGCGTTTAATACACTTGCCAGTCCGTTTAGCTACAAATCTATAAAGTGAAACGTTGACCGGCTAGCATAGCATGCTAGCTAACGAAACAGGTGTCGTTCATGTGAGCTATCTGCTGTAGAACTGTGATTTAAAGGACCTAACTAGTTTAAGGACAGTTTTTGCTGTTGCATATTCAAGGAATATATTATAGTATGTTAGATAGGCTTGACTTGAACACAGAAAATATTAATTGGGACTGCAAAAAGAATATGTCGAAGGCGTAAGACATTTGCTAATGAATATATGTATTTCTTGGCCATCTCATACATTGTAAGTTTAGTTTTCCACCTTAACCAAAATATTATTTACAGGCCAGGATTTCTGCAAATTTCACAATTTAAACGTAAGGCCTCTAACACCATTTAACACTATTCAACTTAATGCACATTTGTCTATTATGTCAGCCAAAATATGCCAGTGTGATTAAGAACTAGGAAGGTATATGAAGGTATATGGCCTATAATTTCTTTTTATTATATAATTTTCGATCCTTCTCAACAGTATGTAATCATGAATGTAATGAATATGACCTGGATAAGATTCATTCAGTGGATAGCTGGGTTAAGATATGAAAAATTAAATAAATTCAGTCTTTGCCATTCAATATTTCAAGTTTTTTTTTTCTAAAATCCATATATCCACATTGTAAGAAGATTGCTGCTGTGGCTTCAAATTATGGCAGTGTTTGCTACAGGTCTGATGGTTCTGACTGAAACTTTACAAAGAAGCGCAATCATTTTTATTTTCTAGTCTGCATTGTCTCACAACAGCCATGAGAAAGTATTTGACTTTTGTAAATGAAATGTGGTACTTTTTAATACCTGCTAGGGCTTTTTATTAAGTGAACTGAAGGCAGTGCTTTTAATATGTTTATGACTTGCTGATTGCACCATTGTGGGTTAATGCATGTGTGCTGATGCTGGATGTGAAATAATTTAGTCCCTCAGTCAGATGTTTATTATAGAGATGATAATGAGAATTTGATTGGATAATATCATAGCCCTAAATGGGATAAAATCAAATGATGCATCATATGATTGTTTGTTAAATTTGATTTCTCTGTTTTCTTTGTCTATTTAGTTAGGCTTTTGTTTTCTTTATTTGGGCAGAGACCATGGTGGAGCAGGTCCCTGAGTCAGTCAATTTTCCCTCTGAAGAGGAGAAGATCCTGCAGTTTTGGCAAGAGCATGATTGCTTCCAGGAGTGCCTCAAACAGTCCAAGAACAGGCCTAAGTGAATACAGTTGCTCTAAGTTTATACTTGTTCATTTCCCAAGCAAAGTTTATTCGCATGACAAGCAGCTGAAGCAGAAGACAAGAATGAGATTTTGTAAAACAACCTTTGGCTCAAGTCAGCTTTTTTTATTTTTTTTATTCACAAATAGCTGTTACAGTATACATTTTGTATATGCTAGGCAAGATAGTCATCTTCTTGACTGTTCTGGCAGTGGTTAAGTACTGCTTTTACAAATGCCATTTCAGCTGTTGCACTTTTAAATAAAGAACTTTTATTTTCTGGCCAGGCAGTATAAACAGTACCAATATAAATGGTTTAATTACATTTATATTTAATTAAATTAATTACCATAAATTTGACCCACTTTCTGTGATAGTATCAATATAAGGGTAATATGAGCATCATAGGTCAAACACACAGTCTGCTGGCCTCATATTAATATGTACTGCATTTAGAAATGTTTTATCTCGCCTCCAAAGCATGTTTATCGCAGAGAAAATTTCATCAAGCTTGATGGCTGGGCTTCCTTAAAAGGATTTTGCTGGATATCTTCTCACCAGGTACACCTTCTACGATGGCCCTCCCTTTGCCACAGGTCTACCCCACTATGGTCACATCCTAGCTGGAACCATCAAGGACATTGTTACTCGTTTTGCCCACCAGAGTGGCTTCCACGTGGATCGGCGCTTTGGCTGGGATTGTCACGGCCTTCCTGTCGTAAGAATTAGACTTTCCTTGATATCGCTAAAATCTGATAATACTGATTTTTAAGCTCTGGGAAGATGTACAGATTGATTCTTGGTTTAGTTATGTGTGTCATATCCTGTGTTTATTTGTAGGAGTATGAGATTGATAAGACTTTGGGGATCAAAGGGCCTGAAGATGTGGCCAAAATGGGCATTGCCGAGTACAACAAGCAGTGCAGAAACATTGTTATGAGATACTCCAACGAGTGGGAGGTGAGCATTCATACCTGCAATAACACATAGTTGAGATGCACCACTGGCATATCTCAGTGTGCAGTGTATGCCTTTTTTATATTAGGGGTCAATATACTGTATCTGAGGCCTTTATTTCTGTGCCTTATTTTTGTGGCCACCCGGGGGCAGTGAAAACAAGTTGTGAACACAGCATTGATGTATCATCACCTTTTAAAGTTGATAAGGTCAGCTTATTAGAAAACATTTGCTTATTCATTCATCCAACAGTTATGGAGCAATAGTAGCATATTAATTGGAGTCATGTTCATGTGATATTTCCCTGATATTTATGTTAATCACTACATGCCAGATTTTTATTTGGTACATTGATGTTATTAAAGAAGCTCTAGTTTATATTTTATAAATACTGGTCTAAATATTACAGTTTATAAGCTAATGACTAGCAAGTTTATGTTCCCAGGCTTCAGTGAAGAGAATGGGCCGATGGATTGACTTCAAGAATGACTACAAGACTCTCTACCCATGGTTCATGGAGAGTGTCTGGTATGGATGTAATAATTTGCATTCTAGAATTAAATTTCTAATGTATAGCTTATTTGATATTCCCTTAGCACAAAGTAATTTTTATTATATGTTTTTCTAAAGTCAGGTATGTAAAATCTGTTCAGCTAGATTTTTATCTCAAAGAAAATTTAGTTTGCGCCCAGGCATTAAACACATACTGTAGGTTAAAGGAGAACACAGATGACAGTGAATTACCACAGTCTTCTTAGAGTAAAAAAACTTGAATACGTACATAGTAAAAATGCAATGCCAAGAAGACTTAATCCATCTGTGGAATTTGTTTTATGGATGTGCAGATTCTGTTTTTTGCTGCTTTTTATTTTGATTTTTTCCTTTCACTTTTGCAGGTGGGTCTTCAAACAGCTGTATGACAAAGGTCTGGTGTATCAAGGTGTCAAAGTCATGCCTTTCTCTACTGCCTGCAACACCCCTCTCTCTAACTTTGAGTCCAACCAGAACTATAAGGTTAGCACAAATTGCAACTCTTCCCAACTGCCGATCTAATGTAGCGCAGCAAAATTCATTATCATTTTCTCCAAATAAGGTGAGAAGATCATAGTGAGAGAAAAAACATTTAATGTTTATCCTAGTAAAGAGAGGGAAAGAAATACCGAACTGACCAAATCTCTTTGTTTCATTTTGGTCTCTAGGATGTTCAGGATCCATCGGTGATTGTTAACTTTCCACTGCTTGAGAATGAGGATATTTCTTTGATTGCTTGGACAACAACACCGTGGACACTGCCGAGCAACTTGGCCCTCTGTGTCAATCCAGAGTTCCCGTATATCAAAGTCAAAGGTGAGAGAGAAATCTTGACACAAAGTTCTTGAAAACCTGGGGTTGGTCACCCAAGTTGATCTAACCCACTGCTGACTGGGACTGAATGCTTCTCTGCAGGTGTTGACACTTACCTTTATTATTAGGAACACTTGTGTGACTAAATAAAAGAAATGTAGTTGAACATTCATGAGTGAAGTGGGTCTGAACCGACAAGGGAGATGGTGGACACATAGACCTCTTTGGGACAGTCCTGGACATATCTCCCAGAAACTGTTTGGAAATGGCTGTGTTTTACACTTTAACGGAGGAGGCAAATAAAGCGGACGTCCATATGCAAAGCCAGCCCTTAGTCACCACTCAAGTCTTTTCTCTTGTAAAAGTAGACCGCTATGCTTGAAAATGCTTCTAATAAAGCACAAGTCTCACCTTTACAATGAAGCCACTCCAAAGACACCAAAATCATATTTTCTGAACAACTAATCTCGTTCACTGGTCCCTTCGAGTATTGATAAAATTCTGTTGGCCCTTGGTTGGTCATCCAGATACTTTTTCTTATTTGCATACTCTGATTTTTACTCGTGTTTGTAAGTGAAATGCTCACAATTCCCTTGTGGGTTTTGTGTTTTGGACCATGGTATCAGCTGATAGGTGTTTTTATTCAGAAAGTATAAAGAAGAACAAGTTATCAGAAGAAGAGTGCTATTGCACTCGGAGGAAAGGATTTTTGTACTATGATGTGTTGGTTGACTTCATAGCCTTTAGCTACTGTAAAGACTGACAAATAGTTTGGTCTATCAAATGTCAGAAAGAAGTTATACTTTACCACTGCACTTAGAACTGTGTTCCTGTCTTGTGTGATTAAACCAGCAGTCCAAAAACAACACAGTATACCACCATATGTTATGAAAATTGGAGCCAGCAGATGTTTGATATTTTGCTTGAAAAATAACAGACAATTAATTGATTATGTAAAATAGTTGATTAATTTTATCATTCAGGTAGATTAATCAACTGTTTGTTGAAGCTTTACAATTCTGAGAATCGGTTAATTGCCAAAATTGTTTTGTACATTTGCAGCTGTCTGCTTCTCGAAGATGAGATGAGTTTTATTCCTGTCATGTTTTCTGTTAATATAGACAGAAAAAGTGTCCCAGTAACTTGTGAAAGTGAGGTCCCTGAAACTGAAGCAGCTTTGTGAAATTCAGCCATCATTTTTTATTTATGTCTTTTGTACTATTTGGAAAAAGTTACATACTGTAGCTTTAATAGAGTATATTTAAATTAGACTCATTTTAGACCAGATTAACAAAACTGAATTCTTTGGGTACATGACTTCCTGTTTTATATTCATCTTAAATTCATGTTTTGTTGTTTAATGTAGCTTTAACTTGAACTGACAATTTACTGCTTGCGTGTATGTCATGTACACTTGTGTTTCAAACCTGAGAAATGTAGATTGACCTCAAATCACGTCTACTTAAAAAGTGTTGTCCTTGTACTAATATTAAAGAATACTCCAGAGGTGGCTAATGTTTGTGTGTTTAAAATGATGACCTAGATTCATACCAGCTGGTCATAGCCTCATTGCTGCTGCAGGGGGCGCTGTTGAAGCACAATCTGCCATCGTAACAGCTTCTCCTGCACTGTGCTGCATGGAAGACCACCTTGGAATACCAATGAATGTAGTTTTTTTTTTTTTTTTTTTTCTAAAAGCTCAGTCTCTTGTTTTATCTGTCGTCCCCTCTCGCTCCTTTGTTATCCTGTTTTTCCATCATTTTCTTATTGCTCTGTTTACCTTCACATCCATCTATTTTCTTCCTCTCTGTCTCTTTTGTGTCTTTCCCTCAGTGCCTTTGTCACTGGAGTTTAAGGCTGTCAGCAGCAGCAGGTCTGAGCTGTGCAGTCATTTGTCACACCACAGAGGGAAAGAAGCATCTTTTATTGATGTTGCCCCCTTCTCTCTCTTTTTCTGTCTCACCGTCTCGGACCATTTAGTTTTTGCCCTCTTCACAACTGTCGTTCTTGATGTTGTCAACCTCTCTTCTGTCATTTCTCAGTATGTTTTGGGTTTAGTTTCACAAAATGTCAGTTATCTTACATGAGGTGGCAACTGTTCAACGTCGTCCGATATACTTAGCTCAGTAGAGTGGTTATAGTCAAGTCGCGTGACCTTGACTGTTATGGCCAGCTGTATTGTTATGTAGCAGGACTTGGCATTGAGGTCTAGCAGATGTGCATGTAGCACAGCTATTAGATTTGAACATGTATCAGTAGATATAAATCATTCTTCAGGGGCTATTTATTGTAGATGGCAGACTTTAAAAAATGTGCTAATGTCATTTCACATCATATTGATCACTATCTTCATTCCCACTTCATTACATGCACAGTGAGATTTGAAAGTCGTATCAAAAAAAGGTGGAAAAAAGAAATGCCTGCAGGATTTTGTGTTAATCTCTTGACTTTGTCAAAACATTTTTCCTAATTTGACAGTTTTCAGCCATGCCACAGTCATGTGATGAAGACTTATTTCATATTTAACTTGGTTAAACTGTTATAAATATTGCAGATGAATAATGCTCCTTTTTTTTTTCTTTTATTGGCCCTTCTGTTTAATAGCCATATACATTACATCAAAGTAGGTCCAGTCAGCTTTTTTGTGGCACTGTAACTTTGCTTTGTGCTGCTGAGTGAAAATTATGCTTTTTTTTTCTGCCATTATTATCCTGACTGTCTGGTCTGCCTCACATATGTGGATGTACTATTGATATCTTTGTGTTGTCTTATGCTTAGTTTTTGTTTTGTTTCTAACCCACTTGCACTCTTTTATGGTTTACTGCAGGCAGCGTACTTCCTTAATGTGTTTAAGCACACACATAAACAGTCAGAAATTAAAAGGAAAAATTCTATCAATTAGAAATGACAATAAAATGATTCCTGAATAAAAGAAAAATCAACAATTTGGCCTTCAAATTAAAGCTATGTTCTGTCAGGATTGATTAATTTTGACAATTTTACACACCTTACCAGTTTTTTTAATAGATACTTTTTACAGATTTGGAGATTTGAGCCTCATTTAGTTGAAAAAAAGAATTGGAAGCATTAAAAATAGGTGGGAATTTGATGAATTATCTTCATGGCATGTCAGCGGTCTTTAATTTATCTTCATGTCATTGTTCTTACAGTCTGTGCTCTTGTTTAAAGAGGGATTCCATCTTTTTCTGTTTACTTCTCAGATAACACCACAGGCAAGACCTACATTATGATGGAGGCCAGGCTGGGAGCTCTCTTTAAGTCGGAGAGCGAGTACACTGTCTTGGACAAGTGAGTACATAAGACGCTATAGCTACCTTAAAAACATCGAGTAAAAATGACTAACACCTAAAATTTTAAATATTCAAGTGTATACGTACAGTCGAACAATTGTCAATTAAGTTTTGATTTTGTTTATTAATTTTGCAGATGAATTACTGATGATTTGTTAATTTGAGCTGAGTTGTCTTGAGTTACTTTGAAAGTCGATATGAAAGCACTGATTATAAGCTCTCTGTTGACAAATGCTGCTAATTGGAATTTTGGAATTTCAGCCAGTTATGACCCACACCTGAACAATGTGTTAATATAGTTGCTTCAGAGTTAGTGTTATTATGTTATGGATTACAGTACATCAGTTTTTCCTCCTCTACTCCTCATTTTGTCAGTTGGTCCACCACACTGGTCCAGATTAAATGTGTCAACAAATACTAGAAGCCAGGGCTAAAATGAAATTTTGTACAGACATTCATGTTCTCCAGAATATACATTTTGTTGATCCCTTGACTTTTCCCCCATTTGTGTTGCATGGATTGGCATGAAATGTAGTACAGAGTATACTGTAGTACACTTGGGTCTCCCTCAGGCTGATTTTTTGGAATAGGATTTAAAAAGTGACCCATCCATCATCAGGAGAAATGCCACCCCTGTAATTTCAGCATGCTGTGCCATGCTTTCAGTTGCTTTTTCTTTTGATGTCTTACCTGTGTGTAATCACATGTTGTGGTCCTGCAGGTTTATCAATGCATGCATTGTGGGAAAAATTATGTATATTGAAACAAGGAATTTTGATGTGCTTTTAGATTTCCTGGTAAGATGCTGAAAGGGAAAAAATACAAGCCTCTCTTCCCGTACTTTGCCAAGGTTTGTAGACTCACTGTGGGGTTTTTTTTTTTTTTTTCAGTGTTTTATGTATTGTTTGTCACAAAGTAAAGACATACCTATGTCTCACTTTAATTACCTGTCTCAACACAAAGCAACGTGTCTGTTTACATTCTATATAAATTCACATTTCACTGCAGTGTGCAGAGAAAGGAGCATTCCAGGTGGTGACGGATAACTACGTCAAGGAGGAAGAGGGCACAGGAGTGGTCCACCAGGCACCTTACTTTGGAGCTGTTAAGTGTTATATTTTAAACATTTTCCTGCTTTTGTCTTAGTCTCCATTGTAACCACAGATACTACTTTGTTACAGAATGTGTTGTAGCACCTGCTGTTGTCAGTGATTCTTTGTATCAACAGATGAATCACTTGGTCTGTAAAATGACAGGGGTTTAACATATTCTTTGCCTGATAAATCATTTAAAAGATTTATCAATGAGAACCAGTAGTAATCAGCCAACTGTACATCAACACACCAACTATACTTCATTAAAATTAGAGAAGGGTATTTAAGCATGAAAGGAAAACTGGTAACAGAAGCAGGAATCAGCACTTAACAATCCCTTTACAAATCTTTGTTGGTGTTGAAATGGCTGATAAATTACAAGTCTAGATACCAGTGACTAATGGCCTTGTAGTCAGGACTCCCAAACAAGACCCATACCAACCTAAACAAGATCAAGACTTTTAATGACTATGACAAGATAGACTGGAATAAAATAACAGTATATGCTCAGTGTTGATCCTCCACACAGTACAGATAATATACAGTAGTGGTGATATGTACTATGCAATGGAAACGACCTTTAATTATGATGTGCGTCACTTCCTTGTATGATTTGTATTGAAGAGAAGTTGAGAAATATACAGGTCTGGAGGAAAAAAAGGATACCTTTGACTAGTATAGTTTTGAGGATGATTTCCTTGCCATCATAGGTTAAAAAAAAGAAAAGTGCACCAGGATTTTTAAGCCTTTTTTTTTTTATCCCCCTGCAAGCATTGCCCGTATGTTACCAGTGTTACACAATTCAATTATGTTCTGTTTTCTTGCAGCATTTCTGTATTTGCTTATAGAAGGGTTTTGTTGTTGTCACAGTGGTTAATATATTTTTCTCATTTGCTTGAGTTTTTTCTAGGTGCATTGCTTTTAGCGCCTTTAGCATTACAAGTGTAGCTCCTTTATAATGGAGGTACCACTTCATTATATTTGATTATATATCACTTTAGCACAGAATATGGCACTAAACCTAACTCTAAACAAGATTGCTCATGACAGTGATGATGAAAGCATCAACAGTTTTATTAATCATGAAAAAAATGTGTTGGTTCAGAGCTGTGGCAGTTGACAGAACTCAGGACCAGTGTGACAACCTGTAGTTAGAGATGCCCTTTTCAAGGGCTGAAGTATGCCCCATGTGGCTGTAGGCAGCTGGAAAAGACACTCAGTTTTTCATTCTGTCTTACCATTCTATTCTGCATTTCAAGTTTATTTCACTGCAGCTCAGTCCCCACAGCTCTGTTGTTTAGCATTTACATTCTCATCAAATAGTTGGTGAAAGTCTAAAACACAAATGCAATTGCTTGTGCTCTCAAGATATACAGTGACAAGAAACGCACTGCCAAACTACGTTTTTAAGTTTTTTGTGTTTTGACTAGATGTGAAATGACCCTCAGAGCCATCCATCTTGGATCTTGACAGAATGTTTGAATAGGGAATACATTTATAGCTGGTCAGTACTCAGATCGTTGAGGCATAGCTGTCACATACCAGCAGTGCTCTCTTTCAACACTACAAAAAGTATCAAGATCAACAAGGAATTCAATATGGAGTCATAACATGTTTTTAAATTGGTGAAGCTGGGTTGCCAAAACTGTTAATTACTTACTATTCATATACAATGTCAGCAATTTAGATCATGTTTAAACAAAAGACAGTCTTGATATGAACCAGTTAAGTACTGTATCAACATAAAGATAATATAATTACAAAGAGCAAAATTAGAATTGCATTCTCATGACTGGCAATAACAGGGTTTCTAATTACTTTTTTAATACAACCTTACATCTTTATCAAAGCTGCCTCTAAACTGTGTATCATTGTCTTTGCAGGATGACTACAGGGTGTGTACAGAATACAACATCATCCAGAGGGACCAGGCGCCTATCTGCCCTGTGGACGCCTCAGGCTGCTTCACTTCAGAGGTCACTGACTTTGCTGGACAGTATGTCAAAGTGAGTGACACCTCAGACATTTACATGTAGATTAAGTTAACAGACAGTGCATGCAGTCTACCCCAGTAAGAAGCACTGGTATTACACACACAGGGTACATCCCTCAAATATAATTCAGTATTTTGTTTTTTTATGTCTGGCTATCCACTCTGCTGTTTCTCAATGATGTTATTTGGTAACTGAATTGAAAATAAGGTAACTGAAATATATTTATCATCCTTATTCTAATATAATTTCAAATCATGTTTTAGCTGTATGACTGGGAGAAGAGGGAACCCATGTCACAGCTGTTACACAAATTTGTGTAAGAAAACCTGCTGCCAAAGTGCATTGTTAGTGTTTACCAGTATATTGGGTGCCCTCTTCCTCCTCGTCACACCCAACGTCATTACCATTCTGAGTGGATAGTGAGAAAAATAGCAGCCATGCACGATCTGATCACTATTTCACATCCTGGTACAAAGGCCAGGGAGTGGGCTTGACCTGCCTGGACACTAACAGCACAGCGTTACTTAAAGAGTATGCAGCCACAGTTCTTTGAAAGTTTGTCATAATCCACTTTTGAAATATGTTAAAACCTAGCATAAGTTTCAAGGCTGTCTGAGACATTCTTTATCGCCACATAAAAACTCAGAGGTGATTTGTGAGAGAGTGAGTCAACACACAAGACAGCTAAGAGAGCAGCTGTTTACCTGTAAACTGAGAAACCAAGCTAGTATTTACACAACATGAGAGCTGCATCTTACACACAGAAGAGCTTGCAGGTGAGCAGCAGAATAAGGGTTCAGAGCCCATCACCATCCCGGTGTCGTGGTGGACGCTTGGGTTATCGCAGCACAGCCATCAAGTTGGGCACAGAAATTAACGAGCACCATGCTAATGAGAAAGAGGAGATGCAAGCACTCATTGTCAGGTTCGCAGGTTACATCGTGGAGGTCCAGGCACTAGAGCAGAGAAATACTGCTCTTCCAGCTGAGTTGACTGCCCTACATAGCCGCTACAAAGGAAGCCCCACAGGCATTGGAGAAGAATATGAACTCAAGTTTAAAGAAGTGTGGGAGTTGATTGAGGTCCTGACTAATGAGAAGGGAGCAGCTGATATTGAAAGGGGCTACTTGGAGGAAGAGGTTGAAGTGTGGAGATTAAAGGTGGAGGAGGAGCTGGCACTCAAAGAGGAAGCAGAAATGATCCTGAGGGAAGCACATAGAACAACTGGTGGCTGAGATTGAGCTCCTCAAGAAGCTACATGACGAAGAGGTGGCTGAACTCAGGAAGCAAATTGAATACTCCAAAATGACTGCTGAGCTGGATGGTGATCGCCCTGACCTGGCTCCCTATTTGTGCAACATGCGTGTGTAAATAGAGGCTGTTGCTTCCCGCAGTGTCCAGGAAGCTGAGAAGTGGTACAAGAGCAAGTTTGACACCCTCAAGGAGCATGCTGGGAAACATGAAGAACACATGAAGACAATGAAAGATGAAATCACAACCTTCCACAACAAGGTGACAGAGCTGCAGAGCCAGATTGATGCACTGAGGGCTTGGAAGATTGCCCAGGAGTAGCAGCTGGAGGACATGGATGTGTCCCACATGGATTAAGTGGGGAGCCTTGAGGGTGTCATTGCTCAGATGGAACCCCAGCTCTGTGAAACCAAGCTGGAGATGACCAAGTATCCCCAAGACTACCAGGAACTGCTGCACATTAAGCTCCAGTTGGATGTAGAGATCACCACCTACAGGAAGCTGCTGGAAGAAGAGGAGCAGAGGCTTGGAATTGCCAAAGATGTCTAAATTCCTGGGGAGAGAGGAGCAGCAGGTCCAAAGTAGTCATAGAGAAGACCAGCAGAGCATCATGAAGTGGCAAGATCATCTCAGTATAGTAAAAAAAAAAAAGACACTTTTAATTCTTCCCTGTTTTTGCCATTCTTTACTCATTGTGCTCTGTCACTCCTGGGGCTGGGTACTGATAGATTTAAAAAATGTTTTTCTTTAATTTAATACCAGTTCCAGCTTTCTGTACTTGACGGTTTTGGATACTCTGTGCTTAGGACACCATAATTACCTCTGTCATTTGCCACTCCCCAACCCATTTGTTTGCTTCCTAGTCATTCTCAGTCCTTCCTATTGCAAATTACTCTCCTAAACAACCAGCTTTTGTTTTTGTTCCCTTTCCCTGTCTCCAGTGTCTTCCTTTTCCTCTCAAGTCACCCCCATTGTTATTTCTCTGTCACTTAGATGCTCACTTTTCACCATCACTGTTTCTCTTAATCCAAGTTTTTGATTCCATCTCCTTCACTATGAGAGACGTTTGTCCTTGATGTGTCACATCTCGACTCAAAGCAGAACAAATTGCCTTAGTGTTGTGGGTGGTCTTGACCCCCAGATTATTTCAAATATTTGACACATGCACAACTATTAACCAATTACACTGTTGTCCAAATATTTAAGGTAGTCCATACAAAATAATGTAGCAATGATTTTGTTTTTTTTCTTCTGTGAGTGACCTGTTGTCCTTGTTCTTAATTGGTATGTTCTTACATTTCTTTTTCTGTATTAACATGTTTTTATGTGCTTCCTCTCTGTCTCTTTACCTTCTTCTGTTCTCATTTTAAGTTGCAGAACTGGGAGTGTATAGAAAAGCAGTTGTTACTGAGTAAATTACAACTTTTTTTTGTGTTCTGCTTCATTCTGTAAATAAATTGAAGGTACTAAATGTAACATTAAGGAACAATATGGCTGTGTGAATTCAGCCTTAGGTTGCTATATATATTCGTTACTGCCGTTGCAGTAGTGCGTTTGACATTTTAGCTGGGGTACTTCTAAGTTGTTAAACATAAGAGGAAAATGACTGTTTTGGAAACACCAACTTGGCTGATTTATTATGCCTTGGGGCAAAGAGATTCTAAAAAAGTCATGTGTGTGAGTAATTTAGTGACATATCACGTAGCCCTCAGTTGGACAGGTGGTGAAATAGGTTTATTCTCTCAGTGGGTTAGCCGGCAAAGTTCCAGTAAGACTTCACATCACAGGGGTATGTTCATGTTTTAATGAGCCTGGGTCAGGGCATAACAACATTTACTCCTGGCTGAGAAAGTTTAAAACCTGTCTCTCTACAAAGAGGTCATGACCAACAGCCTGCCAAGCACTTCACTGAAAAGTCATATTTATGAGCTTCCTGTGAATTGCACTGTCAGCTTGGTTAGAGGAAGATGAAATAATGCATGAAAAGGCACAGGGCTCATTGCATATTAGATTCTTTGCCAAAAGCAATGAGATGGATGAGACAACAGATCATTTCTCCCTACTTATATTTATCATAAGTGGAAGAACAGAGTGTGACTTTGTGATTATGTATGTATTGCTATGGTGTGTTTTGAGGATTCTAAGAGTTCTTCCCCCCAGAAACATTTTCAGAAATGCATTTTTCAAAATTGCAGGAGGAAGCTTGAGGAAATACACCAGTGTGTTAACCATGTTATGTAGTAAAAGTCAAAATATGTTTTTATCACATGTTACCATAGGCGGCTGTCATAGAATTGGTATATGGGTATTATCCTGAGTATAGAAAGCTTGTTTGTACTGAATGTAATATAATATAGAGTTCAGGTGTGATCAAGCTGAAGTACATTATGATTAAGATTTCCTTGATCTGAAGACATTATCTATTTTGGAATAGATATTTTTTAGACTTAATTAATGGCAGAATGTATTAATAATATGATATTCATGCTTTGTGAGAGATGAGATAACCATAAAAAAGAGAGATGATAAAATGCAAATTATGTATGTAAAGATTAAGACTGGTGATGCTCTGTATTTTTGTAATTGTCAACAAATTAGAGGGAAAAACCAACAGTGTGTTAGTCCATCTCTGTATTCAGGCAGGTTTGAGACTTTCTGCCAGTAGTCCATTTGTTTCTACTGAGAAAATAAGTCTTAAGGTCTCGAGCTCAAATGTGAGTAAATAGTGGCTTTCTCTGGGACTATTTTCAGCTCAGTCTTTGATGCACTTGTGAGTACATAAGGCTGTAGGATGATACATGGCACAAAGAAATATAATATATTTGGCTTTTACCACAGGCAACATTTGGTGGAAGGATCACCCAACTGTTGATTTTAGTGTTTTCATGGGATTTGTTGGTAGTAAGCAAAAAAAAAAAAAGTTCACCAGATTTTATTTATTTATTTTTTTAAGTTTTATCACCTGAAGGAACAGTTTGTTCCTACTGACATTAAACACACATTGCAATGACAAATTGAATGTTTTTTTTATGGAGTTTAAGTGGTTTAACATCTTTTCTTACTGCAGTCATGTACTCCGGGGTATGTCAGTACACTATGAAATCACTGTCAGACGTGTGCAACACTGTACAATTTGGACTAAAGCACACTGATCATTGAGACAACCTGGTACTGTTAAAAGTTCAATTTTGTGAAGCACGTTTAAGATTTTTGTGTTGTTTTATAGGATGCTGACAAGAACATCATCAAGTGGCTAAAGGAGAAGGGCCGCCTTGTGAATGCCAGCACTTTCAAACATAGTTACCCCTTCTGCTGGAGGTGAGACGTGCAGAATTCACACTGAAAATTTTTTTTTGTGTCATTTTACAGCGGCTTCTTCCTAGCTGTAACTGGCAGCTTCATTTAGAATCTTCCTCCGTGTGTTAGAGGTCACAGATGCTGGCTCTGCACAAATGCTAATACACCGATAGAGCAAACTCTCATTAACCTACAATACACTTCAGTGTTTAGAATAGTGCTTAAAATAGAGGTTCGAGGTGCATCTGTGCTCATACCTCTTTCAGGTGCATTAGTTAAGGGCAACAGTCTCTACAGTGTCAATTCACAAAGTCAATGTCAGTGTGGTGACTCAAACACAACCTCCTATGGTCCCATGTTATTATAATGTAACTATCAGGAGCATGCCACACACATCATAAGCTTACGGTTTTAGTTGACAGAATCACTCTCTCACTCAGAACAGCTGCAGTCTGACCTGAGAAGGATTAATTAACCTCAGTAAATATGCATTTGCTCTCTATGCCACTAAGGAGACATAGGCTGATGAAATCATTGTTACTAACCGCTCAGCACCTGTAAGGTACAGCTAAACTGTGGTGGAGATGGAAAAAGTACACTTTTACAACGGATAGTGAGTTACAAGTTAAGAGAATTACAAAAGTTAACACTGAGATTCAGTTGTAATTGGTTTTTCACTGACTGCTTTGTTTTGTCTTGGACAGTATTTTTCTCTGAGAAACCGGACACTTTTTCTGTAGTTGTGAAGACCATTAATATGCACATATGTATTTGCACCGAGCAGCCATAACATTATGACCAGTGACGGGTGAAGTGAGTTGCATTGATTATCTTAGTATAATGGCACCTGTCAGTGTGTGGGGTTTATTAAGCAGGAAGTGAACTTTAGGTCATTGAAGCAGATGTGTTGAAAGTAGATAAAACAGTCAGATGTAAGGATCTGAGTGACTCTGACAAGGGCCAGATTATGATGGCTAGATGATTAGATCAGAGCATCTCCCACACTGCAGGTCTTGGTGGGTCTTCCTGGTCTGTGGTGGTTAGTACCTAACAACAGTGTCTAAGGAAGGACAGACGGTGAACTGGAGACAGGGTCATGGACGCCCAAGGCTGACTGACGATGAGGTTGAGCTACTGTAGGTAAAGCTTATAAATTTCACTCATCCTTTTCCAATTTTGTTTGAATTTTTGTGAAATGGATGAAAATGAGAAATACTGCACATTGGTCTCTATGAAGAGAAACATTCAGCAGCTATAGTGGTGATATCACACCTAGAGTGGGGAGGCTGTTGAATTTGTTTAAAAATGATCTCTAACTCGTCCTCATAACCACAGTTTTCACTCGTTTTACATAGGCTTTCTTTGATTGGTAGTCAAATGTGTGCTCTTCCTGACAGTGTAGCTATGGAAACAAACAGATTCACAGAAGATGCACGGTGAGCTACAGAGTGACGCAAGTGCCAACCAACTGCCGCATTGACTCCTGAGTACACAATATTTGGCAGGTGGTCATAATGTTATGGCTTTTCAGTGCATTGCTAGTTTAAACTTTAAGTCAGTTTGTTGCAGCGTTGTGTTTTATGTAATGTGTTTATGCATGTGCAGGTCTGACACACCCCTGATCTACAAAGCTGTCCCCAGCTGGTTTGTCCGAGTGGAGCACATGGTGGACAAATTACTTGACAACAATGGAAAATGTTACTGGTAAGCTATTGTTTTTTTTTTTTTTTTTTTTTTTTTTTGGAAACGAGTGATAACTAGCTTGGTGCTAAGTGACAGTAAAGTGACAACTATGAGCTTCTTGCCAAACAGCTGGTGTAAAATACTTCAAGTCAAGACAGGCAGCAATCACAGTCCCAAAACAGTTAGAGCCACGACTCTGCACTATTACATCAGGTTGATTGTCACAGTCCTGTCTCTGCAGGACAGCCATCACTGGGGATAGTCATTTTAAATAGGAAGATATTGGATTCAGAAAGTAAGCTGTTGCAAGGACTTTTCTTTGGTTTTCATTAAATGAATTATAGTCCTCATTAAGGCATTTTATTATGATCCACACAGGACTGGTGTTTTATACAAAACATTAGCATGATGCTAATTTTAATGGCAGAACATGGAGCAACAGTAAGCATGAGTGTGACGGCTTTGCTAAGTGGTATTACCTCTGGTGTGCCCAGTGCTCTTTTGTGCGCCACAGTAGCTGCCTCTGGTAATGGGACTGTCAAACTGAGATGAATGACTAGCCGCTAGGAAGGTGAAAATGCTCACAAACACATGTACACAGACACAAATGCACACACAACTTTTATGGATAAATTTCTTATCAAAAAAGGCAGTAGTGTTGTATGCACTCATTTGCCAGTTTATTAGGTACACTTAGCTAAAACTAATGCGGTGTAATACAGTAGTCCAGCAATAAAGATCATGTTTTATAATGTTATAATATTCAGTTTTTACTGAGACTGTGTTAGATAGCCGCTGATGCAACTTGATGTCTGTTTGGAACATATACTTTGTGATGCTGTTGAATTGTATGGTAAACTCAGAGGGGTTTTTGTTATTTAGCCTACCCTCACTGATATAAATGGGATGGACAAAACAAAAGGAACGCATTTCTCTGTATAACACAATACAGTTCATGAGTGCCACAAACTGCAGCCTCCAAAATGTAAATGACTTTTTGCTCATGAAGTTTCTGTCAGCTGACTAATCAGTAAACTGTTTTTTTTTTTTTTGTTCTTGAGTAGAATTACATAGAAATGCAAGATTTGTCTACTTATTGATGTGATGAAACATAATTCATAAATCATAATTCTTGTAATATTACATTTAGTTATTTCTTTCCTGTGTCTAATCATTAGATTTTGCTAAAAGAAGATTTTTGTTTTTTTCTTTCTGATTAGGCTCCTTTCATTCTTGAATTCTAGTCCCAGGAAAATGTTCTGCCTTGTCATTGAGGGTTGCCAGCTCATCAATGTCCTAATAAAAGTAAAACCCTTGCAGAGTTCACTACCTCTGTATGAAATTCATGTTAGCTGATGAGGAGCTTAGAAAAGCCCCTTCAGAAAGCAGTGTGCTAGTTATCAAATTCTCAGAGTAATTTGTTCATTTTATCTCTCTTTACTTGAATGGAGCAGCGGGTAGACTCAGCCCAAGTATCTATTGAGAGAGTTCAGGCTGATTTCTCCAGATGTCTGTCTGCCTGCATAAATTAATGACAGAATTAATGAATGCTGAAGGGGGAGCTGGTTCCTTTAGTGTCTCAGGGTGCAGGAAGCTCAGCCATTGTCATGTGATTCCAGCTCCTGGTTTCTTGGCCATAAGAGAAAAGAAAATGTGGTGGTGATGGGCAAGTCCTAAAATAGATCAAGTTTAATCAGGCATCCTACAAGTTTTCTCTTCCAATGCTCTTTTTTTTTCTTGTCTTTCTTGGTTAGCTAATTGGGCTTTCCTTAGCTTATGAGCTGATTTAAACTAGTGTCTTCGACTGATGTTCCAAGCTGAGACAACCCTATAAAAAGATCTTTAATATACACTTGATGGCTACACATAGCATCCACATCTTGCTAGAGACCCGAGAAGAAAGATCTCCCAGGAAAAAAGTCAGCATCCTCAGCAGTTGATGATCTGTGTAGAAGACATGGAAATAAAGAAGGTGTTGTTTTTGTTTTTCAGTGTAGTTTTAATTAGTTTTAGTGTTATAATTATGATAAAGAAAAAATTAAGCTCAGACTCTTTTGTTTTGTTCTGACACAGCCCTGTTTAGCTGCTGAGCTCACATACTTAGACAAGCAAGGCAGTGGCTAGATTTATGTTTTGTTATTTGTGTTTTTCAAACATGTTTTCACTTTTAATGAAAGAAAGGGCTTTTTAGATGAGGGCTAGCCATTGTGCTTTGTGAACCTGGGGTTAATGAGTTTAGCTGGGATTGCTGGATAAACTTTCCAAATCTAATATAGTGTAGCAGAACACAGATACTAACCTTAGCCTACAAAATGTTATAATTGCATCCAGAACCACGGTTCACACAGTGAGGAGAGAATGCACACAGGATGTGTAGTCATGAATTTTTATTTTTTTACCTAACCAGTAACGCCTCAAAATAGTGTAGTATAAACTGCCCCTGGCCTTGGAAGTAATCCTTAGTTAGGTTACTACTGTATAGACAGCAAGCTAGACATGCTATATTGCATCTTAAGTTTAGAGCAGACAAACATGCTGTTTTAGTCCCAGTTTGTTGCACCTTGTCCTTTAACCCCATACCTCCTTTTAATCCCTCTGTTTTTCATATTTTCTTATCTTCCTTGCCTCTTTTTCCTGTCACACGCACCCTCCATCTGTCTACTCCCTGACTGCAACTTCTGTCCCTCTGTCTCCCTCCTGTATCCATCCCCAGTGTCTCTGACTTATAATAGAAACCTGTACATGTTAAATGGCTCCTCAGAGTGTCTCTAGTACAAGACAGCACAAATTCTACATTTAGCATAAATAGAGAGAGGGTGGGTGAGGAGTCGTTGGGGGTGGTGGAATGCAGTTGAAAAAAAAATTAAAAAATTGATATATTAGGGGCCCAAATAGAAATACCTCCTACAAACGGGAATTGCTTTGTGCATGGATCCTGGTG